ACAGTCAGTATGGGTTTGGAATTACCCTTTGCTGTCTTCTTCGGAACCCTTAGTACCATTTGGGCCTAGGCCAAGACACATAGCCGATCTCCACGTCCCGGATCTTATTGATCAACACAACCACACATGGAAATGGGACCTTGTACGCTTATATCTTCCAATGTACAAACCTCATATACAACTTATAATGCTGGGATATACGAGCCACAATGACTCGCTAGCTTGGTTCTATACAAGGAGCAGTAAGTATAGAACTCGTAGTGGATATGGTAAGAGATCTAGAGAGACGGCTACGACTGAAGAACACATGTTTACCAGTGGGAGATTTCTTTTCGTTGGAAGGTTTCGGTTAATGAATTCCCAGTGGGAGAACAATTACATAGAAGAGGTATTGGTGACACTACATCTTGCATCCGGTGTGGTGCAACATAGTCAGTGGAACATATGCTATTCCACTGTCCATGGGCGCAGGAGGTCTAGTCTTTCGCGTCGTTGCCAAAGATCAATTTGAACTCTATCCTTATTACTTTAGACTATTTAAGCGAGACGGTGAGAACGCCGGTACTTCAACCAATTGGTTTTGTCAATGCGTCACTACAGTCTTGGATTTGCTGGAATCTATGGACTACCCGAAACCAAACTATTTTCGAGCAAAAAGTCTTCTTACCAAGAGATATAGTAAGGAAAGCTATCCGGGAAGCCAAAGCATGGAAATTGGCATAGGACTCACTGCCCAGGAGGAAACAACCTGTGAAGATAGTACTAGCCCCGACAAACCCGCCTTGTGGTGCATTGTGTTTCTCGGACGCAGCTTGGAAGAGTGAAGTGGAGCACTGCGGTTTAGGCTGGTGTTTTGAAGGCAACATAGGCAACATCAGAGAGGAGTTCTCAGTTTCTATGCCAAATGTGACATCAGCTTTAGCAGCTGAAGCTTGGGCCATCATTAAGGCTCTACAGAAAGCTCGAGAGAAACGTATTCAAGACTTATACGTAAGCTTTGATTCACAGCTTTTAATTAACCTTCTCATCAAAAAAGAGACGCATACGGAGATACACAACCTTCTCTTTGAGATTAGACTTTTAGCTTCGAACTTTCGATCGCTAAAATTTTCATTAGTACCATGAGAGGCCAATATGTTGGCTTATTCGTAGCTAAGAGAGCGTTTGATTAAACTCTATTAATAAAATCTTGCGTTTGACCAAAAAAAAAATATATTAGATAACTTATAAGGATCGAAAGTTTTCACATCACACATGGAGACTTTCTCAAAATTGGATCAAACTCAAAAAATTTCACAAAATATATAAGAGTACTAGCTTTCATTTTCATGTCAAATCGTGCAAGTCCAACCGTTTGGTCTCAAGTTATATTCTAAAAATTTTTGAGCTAGGTTCAAAGCTTAAGCAAACAAAATATTTGAAGACGATTTGTCGATCAGGATGAGGCCAATTGGTCGATTGAACACCCGCATATTTGGCTGCCTTTGAGTTTTATGAACCAATCAATTGATCATCACAAGGGCAATCAATCGATTTCCCTCCAAGATTTATAAATTTGTTTACAGATTCAACGTCATCTCCTAAATAATTTGGAAATATTCTCATGCCGACTTAACCTAACACATAAAGAACCACAAGATTGTAAGTCCTAGAGAGCTATAATCATTCGTTTGAGGTGAGCATCATGCTCAGACTCCAGAATTTTATGGATTTTATAAACTCCAATCTTTGAAGCAGCACAAAGGAGCATTTTGAAGCCTTTTTACCTATGAGATTTAATCTATTTTTTGTTAAAGTTTTTACCTCTATGACTACGTAGTTTGAGGTTTAAAGGATTTTCAAAGGAGATCTTCATGGGTGATATATACGCATTGTTTAGGTTCTTAAATCTAGAAGGACTCTTAATCTTTGCCTTTATCGATTGCAATTTACTTTTTCGGCTAGTTAAGGTTAATTTTAGACTAGTTATTACTTTCACACTACTTGATTAACC